ATATAACCAAGACAGATAGGATTATTTACAAAATTTTTGAAGAATGAACGGTGGTGTCCGCGGTAGAAACTCAATAATCGGATTGAACATTGATGCCAAGTTTACGTGCTTTTAACTATAGATATATATAACCAATACAGATTACACAATTTCTGAAGTCAACGCGGATGATCCTCGACAGAAATGCAATATTTGGATAAAATTAAAATATTGATGCCAAGTTTGCGATGTTTTTAACTGTAGTAATGTTATTGTGTTTGCTTGAATTACTGTTAGGTCTTTAAATTGTCCAAAAAAAAAATAATGTCTGACAACAGCGGAAGCAGAGTAGACCGCAATTGTTGAGAGTCGTATATTGTTTCATTCATAAAAATTCCTTCGATACAGTACTAGTCTACTACTATTTTGCCCATTTCATGTATTTGTTTTTAAATCATGTTAAATTACTATTTGTGAAACTCAACAAGGAGAAAATCCTATTAACTCTTCCGTTGTGTGTATATATATATATATATATATATATATATATATATATATATATATATATATATATATATATATATATATATATATATATATATATAGATAAATTAACTGAAGTTTTATTAGTAAAGTATTAATACTAAAATTTTAATGTAATTTACAGAAAATAGCTAGGTATGTATTTGTTTTTAAATAATTTGATAATTTATGAAAAAAGGGAGTAAAAGTGGAATGATCAGTGGCCAGTAGGTCAGTCAATACAAAGTATCATATATTTCTATTATAATATGTTAGCTCTTAATTTATATTTTTAAATTTGCGCGCCGCGCCACTGACCAACGAGCCCTGTGAATGTTTTGGTCGAGACATGCTGAGTAAGCACGAGAGTGAGTTGGCCATAAGCGGCAATCGCCGGTTGTATTCTGACAATAAAATCAGTTTAATTGAATTATCGTGTTTAAATATAATTAAAAATGAGTCTGAGTGATCAAGTTTCGATAATCAAATATTTAAGCTTAACAAACATAACTAAAATACCTACATCTTTTAATCATAAGGACATAAGTTAAAAACCATTTTAATATATGCATTAGAATGAAGTAATAATAACTTAAAGAGACGAGGTCTTAAAGTAATAGCTGGTACAGCATGTTTTTTAAACGTTTCCTCATTGCTGCTAGAATGAAATCACTTACTATGAAATGTGCTCTAAAAACGGCATTTATAGCAGTCAGTGTTCAGTCTTAGGATCTCTTCCTAAAGCCCTCATATAAAGTTGCATACATATTAAAAAATAATTTTAAAAAAACAATATATACCTATATAGTTTTCGGTTCTGGGTGCCCTAAAAGAGGACACTTAGCCGACAATTTGGCTCAGATAGCTAAAACCCAAAACTCACACTCCGAACCAGGACGTATTGCTATCCTTTTAAGTAAAAAATAGACCACAATATTAAAATTCAAATTAAAAACTATATAAAAGACAAAAAACTCTAAAAGCGCAAAAGATCATAACCAAATAAAATGAATAACCATAATAACCTAAAAGTCACACTAAAATTGCAAAAACTATTACTGTAAAATAATGAGATTACATCAATAATGCATATGCGTCGGAGTATCGCAAATGTCAAAAGTACAGTGTTTCCATGAAAATTTAGCTATGTTTTTAGCAGTATTATAGGACCATTTCTACCACGCGCATCCAACGATATTGGCGTTCCACAGTTCACGGTATTTTCCTCACACCTCTAGTATAAATGATTTGACATAACGAAACTAACAATAATTATAATTAATGTAGAGTAATAAGTGTTTCGTGAATTCTAAATAAAACAATTATTATATAAAAGTGTAAAAGGAAATGTAATTTATTTCTGTATTTTCTTCTGTAATATCTTCAATTATTATGTTTAATTTCTATAAATAAACCAACTGGTTAGGTGAAACATTGTGATATAAGATTTTATTTATGTGCCCTATGCGTACACTTTAATATACAAAACACCTGGAACATTCTTTAAATAATTGTGGTCGTAGAAATAATTGTGTACATAACTCGTTTGAAAGTGTATTTTATGCACTTGCCAAATATATTATCCATACAGATTAATCAGACTATTTTTTTACTTAACTTCAGTACATCTCTTACTACTAAAACTATTTTTATCAATGGAAAAAAGGGCCGTGTTCTCGTATGTTTTGACGCATTTTCGGCCTCAGCCCATCGGATCCCCCCTCTAAATATATATGAATTTTGCTTAGAATTGCTAATCCTACAATTCTCTATTCGTGCTTGCTGACTGGGAAAATATATACCGAAAATCGTCACTGTCTCCTGGACTATACAATATATGATGATGAGAACTTCACAACAAATACACTTTTATGAATGGCTAGTTGGGGATGTGAGCAAAACCTATGTAAAAATGCGTACCATATTGCTCGATCATTAGAAGTCTCTTTTATGACAGTTAACCAACTCTTGATCCCGACTAGTGGCGACATACCTAATAGGATTGTATGTTTTTCACTGATCTGTATTATTTTACTGGATAGGATATAGCCCCCTAAAAAACGTTCCGAAAAATTGGCCGATTTGGGCAAATAATATGGCGGACCGGATGTTATTTAACATAACCTCTATTTCAATTTGTCATTTAATTGTGTCAACAAATTACGATGACACGTTTTTTTTTATTTATTTAGGTAGTATCGGATAGCATTATTATGATATAAACAATAAACGTTCATTCGTGAAGACACAATATGCTTCACGTTTCCATTTTTATATTTTCTTTCATAAAAAAATCAAATTATAGGTGAATTGTCCCGAAGGACATTGCCGCAGAAGGAATAGAAGAAGAATAAGAAGAAAAACTAATCAAATTATAGGTTAGGTATGTCAAATTATCCCAAAATTTAATTCTGTGATTCCACCATAATTTGCCCAAATCGGCCAGCAGTGTTGCACTTCCGGTCTCCTTGGTGGAACGAATTTTTAGTATGTTAAATATAGCCTATATCCTATCCAGAAAAATAATACAGATCAGTGATGTTTTTATTTCACAGTATAGTCGAGTAAATGTATTAAAATATTCGCTCTAAAATGGGATTTACCTCCCACTTTTTTGTCAAGCGCTGAATTTTTCTGGGATGAAACTACAGGGTGGGCCACTCAAAAGTTCCATCTCTTCTTATCTTTGTTATTAATTGAGATATCCAATTTTGTTTTGTTTAAAAATTTTTGGTAAGAATTTTATTACAATGTAGTCAATTATTCTTCGACGTCACGACGTACTTCCTGTTTTTCCGAAAATAACAGTAAATCGCAATATAGTTTTTATTTTTAAATGAAAACCCCAATTTTTTTATTGAAAATTCTAATTTATTGAACATTTTTGGTTAAGAACCGTTTATTGAAAATATTTTGTGTTCCAAAATAATTCCTCAGACCTTCATATAAAATAAAATAATTTATTCTAATAAAATTTGAGCTATGTGAAAATAAAATAGTTTACTATAAAAATTAGGCCATAAAAGGTTGTATGATCTTTTTCTTTTGTTTAGAAAATTGTCTGTGCCAGAGCTTCTCAATTAGCAGTAAAAATAAAGCGAAGACGAAACCTAAAAAAAATGTTAATATTAATATGATTTAATATATCTTAAATTTAGTACTTTTTTATTCTGAGTGTAGTAGACAAAATAGACCTGCTGGGCAAGTTTAATTTATCAGATGAAGCCGCCTTATCTCTTAGTCAAGAGCGGCCCCAAGAAGAAGGAAATCCCCCCCATTATTAAAATTCTTGCAATCCATGATCATTTTATTAAAAAACTGCCTCCCTCTGAAAATTCGGCCTGGAGCCACCCTTGAGCTAAGTAGTAACAGGCAACAAAAAGTAACTGATAACGTCAATAATAAATGATATGACGTTAAGGTACTTGGTTTTTACACAAAAGCATATATTATATGAAACTGCCTAAGAAATGTGTGGTTTATGATTCAACTATAATTATTGACAGTTGATTTCTCAACCATTCAAGAAGAAGCAATTTTAATTATTGCTCAATGCATGATGAAAGTAATGGGGCTCCTCCAGACCAACGCGAATATTCGTCGTGAATCCGTAACTAAAATTTGGTTTTTACTATAGTTTTCATTATAGTTTTTACTATAGTCTTTACTGTAGTTTTTGGTATAGTTTTTACTATAGTAATTACTATAGTTTTCACTATAGTTTTTACTATAGTTTTTACTATAGTTTTTACTATAGTTTTTACTTTAGTTTTTACTATAGTTTTTATTATAATTTTTACTATAGTTTTTACTATAGTTTTAACTATAGTTTTTACTACAGTTTTTACTACAGTTCTTACTATAGTTTTTACTACAGTTCTTACTATAGTTTTTACTATACTTTAGTTTTTACTATATTTTTTATTATATTTTTTACTAGTTTTTACTATAGTTTTATGATAGGTTTTACTATAGTTTTTAATATAGTTTTTACAATAGTTTTTATAATAGTTTTTACTATAATTTTTATCATAGATGTTACTATAGTTTTTACTATAATTTTTATCATAGATGTTACTATAGTTTTTACTATAGTTTTTACCATAGTTTTTACTATAGTTTTTTACTATATATTTTACTATAATTTTTACTATAGTTTTTACTACAGTTCTAACTATAGTTTTTACTATAGTTTAGTTTTTACTATATTGTTTATTATATTTTTTACTATAGTTTTTATGATAGTTTTTATCATAGATTTTACTATAGTTTTTACTATAGTTTTTACTATAGTTTTTACTATAGTTTTTACTATAGTTTTTACTATAGTTTTTACTATAGTTTTTACTATAGTTTTTACTATAGTTTTTACTATAGTTTTTACTATAGTTTTTACTATAGTTTTTACTATAGTTTTTACTATAGTTTTTAATACAGTTCTTACTATAGTTTTTACTATAGTTTAGTTTTAACTATATTTTTTATTATATTTTTTCCTATAGTTTTTACTATAGTTTTCACTATAGTTTTCACTATAGTTTTCACTATAGTTTTCCCTATAGTTATCACTATAGTTTTTACTGTAGTTTTTACTGTAGTTTTTACTGTAGTTTTTACTATAGTAATTACTATGGTTTTTACTATAGTTTTCACTATAGTTTTCACTATAGTTTTTACAATAGGTTTTACTATAGTTTTTACTATTTATTTGAGTGAAGTCGATGTAAAATAAGTACGAATTAGGATTAAGAAATACCAAGAAATAAAACGAAGAAGCTTCCCTGCATATCGTCCAAATTTACGGTGTGATTATTCACTTCAATTAAATGTCTATTTTTCCAACATCTGTCTCTTTTTGGTAAATAATCTTGCAGCCATTTTTGAATCAATCCCATTTGATGCAATTTTTTTATCCTTAAAAAAACAAATAGTTATTTAATTTAATTCTGCAAAATTATTAAAACAATGTATACAGATGATAATTTTATAAAAACAAAGGTGGTAATAGAGTTAATAAGCGACGGAAAATGGACAGGAAAATATCGGTTTTTACAATACTTTTTCTACGACTTCAAAATGTAGATATATATTTGTTATTTATGTAAACAATTTATTATAGCATAGATAGGTAAGGGTTAAGTTTTAATAATTTTTAATTGATGAATGAATCCGGTTGTTTTGCCTCGAGTCCAGTATAGGCTTTGTTACTGTCTCCCAGAGCAACTTTAGGAATATCACTGTTAATTAGAACAGTTAAGGGTCAAGTGGTAAGAATATTACTATTGTAAACGCCCGTGAATATGTACTTACTCTTCGTTTATTTTCGGTAAATATGGAGAATCTGGTGCAACTAGTAAAGCCAATTTTTCATCAAAAAAATCCTCTGTGGCTACAAAAAAAAATATATTACATAAACATAAAATATGATTCGAATAAATTGAATTTGTTTCTGTTAAGAAGTTTGATTTATATAAATATACCTAAAACAAAATCGCATCGTCCAGTTTTTAAAAACTGTCTTTTCATAATGAATTGTAACTTCTGTTTCCAATCAATGTAAACATGTTTTCCCTCTTCCATGCTTCTGATCAAACCTTCGTTGTCGGTTGATACATGTTTGATTCTTCCGTCAAAAATCGTTTTAAAGCGGCCTTCAGTTGAAATCTAAAATACATTTTAGAAAAATATTAAAATATGTTCCTAAGTAGAAATGACAATTACTTGTGGGGAGGTTAAATTGTCTAAATACCATTTTACTTGCGTTTTAACATGTAACGACTTACCTTTTTAACCCTCGATGTAAACAGATGGATGTTATAAGTTTAAAGTGTGTATCTGTGTAACTCTGCATACGTGCATATGTGTATTTGTGTATCTGAACCTGTGTATCTATGAACATGTGCATTTGTGTATCTGTTTATCTACATATCTGTATATCTATACCTATATGTGTACATCTGTATAATATGTGCATCTGTGATATGTGTATCTGTGTATCTATGTATCTGTGTATCTATGTATCTGTGTATCTGTGTACCTGTATATCTGTGTACATGTGTATCTGTGTACCTGTATATCTGTGTACATGTGTATCTGTGTACCTGTATATCTGTGTACATGTGTATCTGTGTATCTGTGCATCTGTGCATCTATGTATCTGTGTATCTGTGTATCTATGTATCTGTGTATCTGTGTATCTGTGTATCTGTGTATATGTGTATCTGTGTATCTGTGTATCTGTGTATCTGTGTATCTGTGTATCTGTGTATCTGTGTATCTGTGTATCTGTGTATCTGTGTATCTGTGTATCTGTGTATCTGTGTATCTGTGTATCTGTGTATCTGTGTATCTGTGATTTGTGATATGTGATCGGTGAATCTGTATATCTATGAATCTGTGATCAATATATCTGTGATCAATATATCTATGATCTGTATATCTATAATCTGTATATCTATGATCTGTGTATCTATGATCTGTGTATATGTGATCTGTGTATCTGATATATGTGTATATGTGATCTGTATTTCTGTGATCTGTATATCTATGATATGTATATTTGTGATCCGTGCTCTAAGAATCTGTGATTTGTGTATCAGTAATCCGTGATTTGTGTATTTGTGATCTGTGTACAGGGGATCTGTAATATGTATATATGTAAACTGTGCATCTGTGATCTGTGTATATATGATTTATGTTTCTGTGATCTGTGTATCTGTGATATGTGTATCTGTGATATGTGTATCTGTGATATTTATATCTGTGATATGTGTATCTGTGACATGTATATATGTAGTCTGTGTATCTGTGATATGTATATATGTTATCTGTGTATCTGTAATCTATGGTATTACTATAAAAATATTATAATAAAAGCAAATCTTTCATTTACCATCAAATTTTTATTTTAATAAAAATATAAAGATACTAAATTTATATAGTAAATATTTGCTTATAGGTTTTCCGTTTAAATAAATTGTAATTAGGGGGTTTCAATTTGATTGATGTATTATATATAGCTTTAGAAGTATTAATTTTATTCTGTTATAATATGTTTCTATTTATAATAAATTGAAATTCGATTTCAATTTATTTCAATTATGAATAGTTAATTTGTGGTTAAATTTTATGAGAAAATATTGTGTATCTGTGATCTGTATCTGTGAACTGTATATCTGTGATCCGTGGTATGTGAATCTGTAATCTATGATTTGTGTAACTGCGATAGGTGTAAATGTGATCTTTGATCTGTGTATCTGTGATCTGTGTACATGTAATCTGTGTATTAGTGTCTCTGTGATCTGGGTCTGTGATCTGGGTGTATGTGATCGATATATAGGTGATCTTTGATTTGGGTGTCTGTGATCGGTATATATGTGATCTTTGGTCTGTGTATCTATGACTGTATATCTGCAATATGTGTTTATGTGATCTTTGATCTGTAATATGTCTATCTGTGAACTGTGTATATATGATCTGTGTATATGCGATTTGTAATATTTGTATCTGTAATCTATATATCTGTGGTCTGTATATTTGTGATCTGTGTATCTGTGATTCAAGTATCTGTAATCTGTGTATCTGTAATCTGTGTATCTGTAATCTGTGTATCTGTAATCTGTGTATCTGTAATCTGTGTATCTGTAATCTGTGTATCTGTAATCTGTGTATCTGTAATCTGTGTATCTGTAATCTGTGTATCTGTAATCTGTATATGTAATCTGTGTATATGTAATCTGTGTATCTGTAATCTGTGTATCTGTAATATGTGTATCTGTAATCTGTGTCTTTGTATCTTTGTATCTTTGTATCTTTGTATCTTTGTATCTTTGTATCTTTGTATCTTTGTATCTTTGTATCTTTGTATCTTTGTATCTTTGTATCTTTGTATCTTTGTATCTTTGTATCTTTGTATCTTTGTATCTTTGTATCTTTGTATCTTTGTATCTTTGTATCTTTGTATCTTTGTATCTTTGTATCTTTGTATCTTTGTATCTTTGTATCTTTGTATCTTTGTATCTTTGTATCTTTGTATCTTTGTATCTTTGTATCTTTGTATCTTTGTATCTTTGTATCTTTGTATCTTTGTATCTTTGTATCTTTGTATCTTTGTATCTTTGTATCTTTGTATCTTTGTATCTTTGTATCTTTGTATCTTTGTATCTTTGTATCTTTGTATCTTTGTATCTTTGTATCTTTGTATCTTTGTATCTTTGTATCTTTGTATCTTTGTATCTTTGTATCTTTGTATCTTTGTATCTTTGTATCTTTGTATCTTTGTATCTTTGTATCTTTGTATCTTTGTATCTTTGTATCTTTGTATCTTTGTATCTTTGTATCTTTGTATCTTTGTATCTTTGTATCTTTGTATCTTTGTATCTTTGTATCTTTGTATCTTTGTATCTTTGTATCTTTGTATCTTTGTATCTTTGTATCTTTGTATCTTTGTATCTTTGTATCTTTGTATCTTTGTATCTTTGTATCTTTGTATCTTTGTATCTTTGTATCTTTGTATCTTTGTATCTTTGTATCTTTGTATCTTTGTATCTTTGTATCTTTGTATCTTTGTATCTTTGTATCTTTGTATCTTTGTATCTTTGTATCTTTGTATCTTTGTATCTTTGTATCTTTGTATCTTTGTATCTTTGTATCTTTGTATCTTTGTATCTTTGTATCTTTGTATCTTTGTATCTTTGTATCTTTGTATCTTTGTATCTTTGTATCTTTGTATCTTTGTATCTTTGTATCTTTGTATCTTTGTATCTTTGTATCTTTGTATCTTTGTATCTTTGTATCTTTGTATCTTTGTATCTTTGTATCTTTGTATCTTTGTATCTTTGTATCTTTGTATCTTTGTATCTTTGTATCTTTGTATCTTTGTATCTTTGTATCTTTGTATCTTTGTATCTTTGTATCTTTGTATCTTTGTATCTTTGTATCTTTGTATCTTTGTATCTTTGTATCTTTGTATCTTTGTATCTTTGTATCTTTGTATCTTTGTATCTTTGTATCTTTGTATCTTTGTATCTTTGTATCTTTGTATCTTTGTATCTTTGTATCTTTGTATCTTTGTATCTTTGTATCTTTGTATCTTTGTATCTTTGTATCTTTGTATCTTTGTATCTTTGTATCTTTGTATCTTTGTATCTTTGTATCTTTGTATCTTTGTATCTTTGTATCTTTGTATCTTTGTATCTTTGTATCTTTGTATCTTTGTATCTTTGTATCTTTGTATCTTTGTATCTTTGTATCTTTGTATCTTTGTATCTTTGTATCTTTGTATCTTTGTATCTTTGTATCTTTGTATCTTTGTATCTTTGTATCTTTGTATCTTTGTATCTTTGTATCTTTGTATCTTTGTATCTTTGTATCTTTGTATCTTTGTATCTTTGTATCTTTGTATCTTTGTATCTTTGTATCTTTGTATCTTTGTATCTTTGTATCTTTGTATCTTTGTATCTTTGTATCTTTGTATCTTTGTATCTTTGTATCTTTGTATCTTTGTATCTTTGTATCTTTGTATCTTTGTATCTTTGTATCTTTGTATCTTTGTATCTTTGTATCTTTGTATCTTTGTATCTTTGTATCTTTGTATCTTTGTATCTTTGTATCTTTGTATCTTTGTATCTTTGTATCTTTGTATCTTTGTATCTTTGTATCTTTGTATCTTTGTATCTTTGTATCTTTGTATCTTTGTATCTTTGTATCTTTGTATCTTTGTATCTTTGTATCTTTGTATCTTTGTATCTTTGTATCTTTGTATCTTTGTATCTTTGTATCTTTGTATCTTTGTATCTTTGTATCTTTGTATCTTTGTATCTTTGTATCTTTGTATCTGTTGGGTTTATTTTAAGTTTTTCTCTTTTATAATTTTAAACAGTAAAATTCAGTTTGAAAAACTTCTATGTTTTATTTTTACAATTTTTATACTCTGACAAGTATTGTCAAAAAACCAAGTAACTACAATAAATTATATCAATATATCCTTAATTGCATCATCTATATACTAACTATAAAAAAATATATAACATCCTCCCCCCCGTGAAAATAATTCTAATCTTGTCGAATCTAATTTTCACTAAATTTACATATTTTAGTGACTGGCCGCCGAAAAGTTGAATCTTTCGTTTTGATATCAACGACACGAACTCTTCCGTCTTTTCCAGCCAACAACTTTTGGATCACTCCTAAAGGCCAATGACTTCTTGGTGCATTCGGTTCTATAAGAATGACAACATCTCCCTCTTCTAGCGGTTTTGAGTCATTATTCCATTTTGATCTCTTCGTCAAAGTCGGAAGATACTCTTTTACCCATCGGGTCCAAAAAATATCGGCCAGTCTCTGACTTTTCTTCCATTGCTTTTTATATTCTTGGGTGTCAAATTTTCCAGGGACTAATGGAGGCGAATATTTTCCTTTTAAGAAATGGTTCGGAGTAATGCTGATTAAGTCATGTGGATCAGACGACACATGAGTTAGAGGTCGACTGTTTACTATGTTTTCAACTTCCGAAAACATGGTCAGCAGTGTTTCATCTCGCGGCGCTTCCTCCTTCAATATGTTTCCAAGAATTTTCTTGACACTTCCAATTAATCGCTCCCAACACCCTCCCATGTGTGGCGCCCCTGGTGGGATAAATTTCCATGTAATACCAAGTTCTTCCA